TAATTATTTATAGTAAATAATAAATATTTTGATTTGGTAATTAAGATTAATTTTGATATTATTATTAGGTTTGAAAATTATTCTCTCGATGAATTAAAATTAGAAATACTTTAGTTAATGAAACTAATAAACTTGATAATAAAAAAAATCTTCTAAATTTTGACTTTACATATTTTAATTTTTATAGTTTAATAATTATGTAAAAATTATATATTAGATTTTGTTGATTTAAATACTCTTACTTATAATATAATTAGATCTTTAATAATACGTTTCTGAAACGTTTCTATTTCTATATTTTTTAAAAATAGTATTTCCAGGTTTCGAAACGTTCCGCTTCCACGTATCCGTTTCCGTTTCCATGCAACATAGATTATAAGTTTTATACTATACTATTTTTGTATTTTGTTTAATTATGTGGTGGTATTAACGTTATTTGTATTATGAGAATTATGAGTTTTGTTTTAATACAAAGAATTATGAGTTTTGTGTTAGTATAAAGACATTTTATACAATATTTGTTGGAGATAATCACATTAATAATGCAAATATAAAATTTGTTACAATTTTAATTTAGGTTTGAATTATTTAGATTCATTCCATTAACATAAAATAGAATACTATTTCAATATATAAAAAATACATTAATAGTATAGTACATTGATTATGTTGTTTTGTATTTGATAGATTTTACTTTCCAAATTATTTGAGATTGTAATAATTATGTATATAAACAATTTGAGTTATTCTATATATATAGTCACTTTGTTTTAGATTTGGGGTTTGAGTATAGTAAGTAGTGGCTTGAGTTTAGTTTCAAATCATTTGAGTTATTTTATATACATAGTTTCAAATAATTTGAGTTATTCTATATATAAAGTCACTTTGTTTTAGATTTGGGGGTTTGAGTATTGTAAGTAGTGACTTGGGTTTAGTTTCAAATCTTTTGAGTTATTCTATATACATAGTCACTTTGTTTTAAATTTGGAGGTTTGGGTATATTAAGTAGTGGCTTCGGTTTAGTTTCAAATAATTTGATTTTTTTGTATATGTAGTATATAACAGATTATAAAATAGTATAGATAGTATATTTCTGCATAATGATAAAATAGTACGGAATTTTCTATTATTTTTATTTTTATTTTTTTCTAGCAAATAAAATAATTAATGTTGACAAAAAATAATAAATAAATAAGAATAATTAATAAGGATATTTTTGTCCAAAATTTATAGAAGTTAGGGTTTTTGGTTAGTTTTCTAATTTCTAATTCGTTATGGCTATATTCTTAATTTTCAATCACAATATGGTTATTTAGTAAATTGATATTTGAATATATAATAAGCAATGTCCTAAAAACATATATCGACTAATCCTCTCGTATATTATATATATTGCATGAAATTGTGGGTTTATTGCTTCTTACAATATTTAATTTGCTAATCCTCTATATATTAATTGAGAAGCATTTTGAGAGAGTAACATTAATTTTATAAGTAATTACGGTGATGCCATTTTGCTGATGTGTCACCACCATAGGGCTTCTCATATTTGTTTTTAAAAAAGGCTTCTCTTACTAGAATAATTACATCATGTGCCACTCATATTAATTGCTTGAACCATAATTTATATCAGTCATATATACATAATTTAGTATTTAATTACAAATGTATTCTTTTTATTTCTATTGTTTACCAAAAATAACATCATATTAATTCTTTTTTTACACTATGTTTCTTCTCTTGCTTTTATTTAAGTTTATTTTTGTAAAAACATAAATCATCACATCATTTACATAATAAAAAATATATATATATATATATATTTATACATATGTTATAATTCGAATTTTTAAAAATGAATATAAATTATTCAAATGATGAATAAATATTGGTATGTTTTAAAATTTACATACTGGAAATGTAGTAAAAGATATTAAAAATTTAGTAAAGCACAAAATTTTATTTAATAGTCATAACATTTATAAAAAAAGAATTGCATACTATATATTTTTAATAGAATCATCCCTTATATATTAATTAAGAAACATGTTTAGAGAGTATTCTTAATTTTGTAAGTTATTTACAATGGTGTCATTAACACCAGAATCATTCTCAGCAAATATATAAAAATGAACTCACATTACTAAATTAATTATTTGTTCTGCCCACTCACATTAATTTAGTTATACAATATTTTTTTTTTATCAATTATTTATATATAAATCAGCATTTAATTTATTAAGATATTCATTTTTTTTACTAAAACTATATCATATTAATTATTTCAAATAAAGTATTATCTTATTATCTTATCAAATTTGCTAATTTTTACACTGGTCGAGACTGACAAAATTTATTAATTTATAGTGATGAGGTTCTACTGTAGTTTGCTTTAAAAAAAAAGAAATTGATATTTTTATGAGTGGTCTTTACAAGTTAACTTAACTATACAGTTATATCGTATAAAACAATATTAAACTCTATTATAATATCATATAATCAATATTTTTAAAGAAGCTAATTATAATAAATTTTATATGTCATATTATTTTCTGTATAATGAATAATAGCAAAGACGTATCAAAACTCTAAACATATCTATAACATCTTGAATTTAATATTTCATTTTATTATGTATACATTATACTTTCAACCTACAATTTATCATATATTCAATTATTCACATGCAAAATGAAATCAAATTTGTTGTGTATGAAAACTTTGACAAGATGAGTATTGGTAGTTTACTGACCTTGGTATTGAGATATGTGTTTGAAAGTTATGGATAATTGAATGAGAACCTTATGATTTCTAAGTTTCACATAACAAATATAATTTATATTTTTGTAATGTATTTTTTGTCTATCATATAATACATGTTATTTTTTACTAGGTGGGCTTACACGGATTCTAATTTCCAAATGTTCTCGAATTCTATTTGATTCTCAAATTCTAGAAATACAATTATTCAGATAGATATACAAAGCAATGTCCTATAATTATTTACATGTACCGAAATCATTACTAATATATACTGTATTCTATAAATAGACAGATTTCTGAACAATAACCATTGATAACATATAAACAATTCTAAAAATTAATATATGCTTTTATATTCAGTTATTAGTAAAATGCTATTATATTTTAGACAATATTTTTTTATTAAAGTTTTTGGAATTAGCTTATTTTCTTTTACAAAGAGAGTTATTTACATTAATTTATGGTTATAGTTATGGTTTTCCAAATTAAAAACATAAAAATTATATCTTTCTCATTCGATATAGTAGATAAGTAACAAATATTTTAACTAATAATATTTAATTATTATTCAAGAGTCAAAAGTAATTTAATATATACACAAATATTATATACCCGAATATTGGATATTGGTGAAAATGCTAAATCATATCATCGATCACGGGATATAAAAAATTTATATGGCGACTTCGTATTTCTATCCAACTATATCATATGCTATGCATGATATTTAATTTTTAAATTAATTTACATAACAATTAAATTATCTTATATTTCATAAAAAACTATATTGTCAACCTTATAATATAATATTATATAAATTTTACATAAATTTTATTATATTATATTATATAATTTTAAACGTATATTAAATTTAAATAAATAATTATTATTTCACCATGCATAGGGTGCAGATTATTACCTAGTTAAGTAGTAAACCTGTTCCCGAGAAGAGAATAAAAATTGATAATAGCTTGTTCTTCTTGAGGAGTGAATGCCTTTCTTGACCCCGGGGGCCTTATAATTCTTGATAGCTTGTTCTTCTTGAGGAGTGAATTAGAAAGTTAAGCCACCTTAATCTGCAGCTCTTTGGACATCTCTACAAACCTTTGTAATTCATCACATATATAAGATTAAAAAACTTGAATTCTTTTAGCAGTAAATTTTGAATACATATATGCAAACAAACAAAAAAAGATTTAGGTGGCCATATTGGATTAGTAATTTGGATAAATCTAAATCTATGAAGATTTTAATAAATTTTAAGTTTCAAAATGATCTATACAAATCTTACCTTCTGAATTCTCTCAAATATCATTATATGATGTGGTATTTCAATCTAATGGTTTTTCATTCTAAATTACATCTCAAATCATCCCAAATCATTTTTTAAAAATAATTCGTTAATGAAATCTCAATTTTCCAATAAGGCAAAATTTTAATGAATTTGTATAAATGACTAATCCAATAACCTTGGATTTTAAGTAACTTTTTCAAATGCTAGATTCAATAAGATTTGAAAAAGAAATGAAATCATCCTAAATCATTAATCCAATATACCCCACTTAAATTTATGAAAATTTATATGTCTAAAAAAGGACTCAAAACTTTGATGGGATAATATGACTTTTCTATGTATATTTGTACTATATATATAGAGAAGAAACCCATGGAACACCTGATTTAATATTGGCACCATCTAAATCCGTAACTAGACACAAGCGATTGTTTGGACCTTCACAAAACTTACAAATAACAGAAGAACAGAACAATAACTACAAGCAATGATGATTAAAAAAGGATTAAAAGTATCGTTATCAGAAGCTTCTATATTTTACGTTTAATACTTTATACTATTACTTTTGATTAGAGAATGATTTGCTGTAGTTTGCCAGTGGAGTAGAAGTTTTTCCTTCTTTTATCAATTATTAAAAGTTTCTTAGTTAGAAAGCGTCTTAATTTATCTGTTTCATGATTTTTGCGATTAGTGACACAATAAAGTGCGTATTAATTTCATCATTTTGTCACTATTGAAAAAGTAATATATCATGTTTGTGGTGGAGTAAATTAAAAACGACACCTACAATTATGCAGCTCCTACAAAACATGTTTGGTTTTTAGTACTTAACCATTATACAAAAAAAAATCACAATATATATACTACCAGCTTTGTGAGGGAGAAAACGCCAGTCATTGATGCCGTATTCGTCGATGTATGCGACGAGTTTCTGGTCTTCCTCCTACGTCCATTCTCCTCTCTTCGTCCCGCCGGCTTCGAACCACGTTGCTCTCCCCATGGTTTCTCTCAGGCCACCAATCCGATACCACCACGTGTAATTTACCTTATGACAAGAGAAGAGCTATGGTAGTTTTAAACGAAAAAAAAAACTATGAAAGTATCCCTCTAATTCGCACAATTTTCACTTATTTTAGAATGGTCTTTTGAATGAGTATATAAGGCTAGTAGCCACAGAACACAACGTTTAATAGTTTTAGACACTAAATAAATGGGAAACACACACACACACACACACATATATATATATATGTGTGGTGGTATGTGGAGAAGATGAACACTTAATAGAGATCGAGCTCTCTTCCTTATCTCTGCAAATTCAGTGATGATTCCAATTCAGGGGTGGATTTTCGAGTAACAGGAGTCAACGTAGGAGGATGTGCCATGGTTAGATTGAATCCTTCAAACCACTCATCCATGTTGACCTTCTCTCCTTTGCTTCTCCAGTCAAAACATTGCACCATCATTCCGATTGTTGTTCCTACTACCATATAAGTTAGTTTTGATGCAGGACATCCTCTCCTTCCGCCGCCAAAAGGAAGGTACTTCATTGCTTGCTCTTTTCTCTCCTCTTCTTGCTCTGATCTTGAGGAAGTGAGAAATCTCTCTGGCTTGAACTCAAGAGGGTCTTCCCAGAAATTTGGATCTCTCATCACAGAATAAAGGTTAACGATAAGGTTCGTCTTTTCTGGTACAAAGAACCCTCCTATCTTACATCCTTCTTGAAACTCCCTTGGTATGAAAGCTGCTGGGGGGTGTAATCTTAGTGCTTCCTTGATGACAGCTTGCAAGTAAGGGAGGTTAGGTAGATCCGTTTCTTGAATCAACCTTGAGTTCCCTACAACTGAATCAATTTCCTCTCTCAATCGCGCATTAATAATAGGGTTGTCAATGATCTCGGCCATTGTCCACTGTATTGTGTTCGTCGAGGTATCAAATCCTCCGAAGAAAAGTTCCTGCAGTTGAACACACTCTTTCATTTAACTTTATTTTATTTTCTATGAAAATTTGGAATATTGATAGAAGTTCGTAAATCATGTTATGTTATGGAACACTTACCACAAAAAACGCCTTGATGTGGTTCCTAGTTATTTTATACTCTGCCTTTTCGTCTTTATAAACTGCCAACAACACGTCCATCATATCCATACATTCATCCGTGTTCGGTTTCTTTTCGTGTTCCACAAGAATCCTCTCTAGCATCTTGTCGAATTTCTGGGAAACACCCGATATATCCCTCTTGAATATAGAAATTCCAAGCATCTCGAGTAGTTTTAAAAACAAGACTGCTAAGAACATCATCTTCTCCGAACCCTCTGACTTGGTAACCATACGTCGGACACTCTCTGCCTCACCGTTCTCCTCTGTAAAAGTCCTTCCCATGCTCATCTTGCAAATAGTGTTGACCACAAGCTTCTTCGCTTCCTTAGTAATCTCAACGCCCTCCTTCTTCCTCGCCTTATCAAGCAGGTTTCCGTAGAACCTATGTAGCTCATTTGCGCGAATGCTTCGTGTCTGTTCTTGTGCTTGGGGTCCAAACATCTTTGTAAGAATGAGTTTCTTCATGAACTTATAGTATTCTCCATAAGGTGCTGTAACAAATCCTGAAGTACCGAAGAGGAGAGACCACTCGCTCGTAGGGATGTTGCGAGATGAAATGTTGACGTCATGGATCCTGAAGATCTCGTATGCTAGAGGGGCTGAAGAGAGGAGGATGACGGGAAAGTTAAAAACTCGGAGATAGAGGAGAGGTCCATATTTGGAGGAGAGTGTATGTACAAACTTGTGGAGTATTAAAGTTAGGTAAAGAATAGAATACTTTTGAGGTAAGTAATAGAGGAGAAGGTGAAGATGACCGATGATTGGAAGAGCAGGAGGGCTTGGAGGCAAATTAACTCCATACGTTGGTTTTCTGAAGAAAAGAGAAAAACAGACTAATGCGAATTTGAAGAAACATAAGAGGATTAAGATTATAAAATATTGAACGTCAACAGTGATCATTGCTGCCATTGTTGCTCAAAGTGAAGAGCTGTTAGAATTTCAACAGATATCGAAGAAGATAAATAATAGGCGAGGTTAGAACGAAGAAGAAAAAGCACGTAAGTATGATGTGCACCTGACTTAAAAGTGTTAAGTGTTGACAAAAGAAACACACTTCACAAGTAAGAGAGGTAATGACTCTATTTGATAACTTAACAAACACTAATTAGTTAACTTAAGAAAGAGTCTTCATCCCCCTTGGTGACATTGACAACTAGGGTTCCCCATGGGATCTTAAGATTTGTAGAGCATGGAACGAATATAAGTATGTACTTATTGCAGAATCTTTTAATATAGAAATGTGCATTTGAAATACACATGTTATATCATATTTAATATGTAGAAATGTCTAAGTTTTACTATTAACAGAAGAAACGCACTTAACTAGCAAGAAAAGGGACTGACTCCAATTCTAATTAAATAACTTAACAAAGCGTCTTCAACAACCAAGTTGACAACTATGGTTCCACATGGATGTTAATATCCCTTGAGCATGGAACCGAAATAAGAAGCTACTTGTGGCACAATCTTGTAATGCACGACAGAAATGTGCTAGTGCATTAATCAAGCACTACTGAGAAGGGATTGACTGTAATTGATAACTTAATAAACACTAATTAATGAACTTAACAAAGAGTCTCCATTCGCCATGGTGACAACTAGGGTTCCACATGGGATTTTAAGATTTTTAGTGCAGTTAACCAAAAAAAAAGAAAGATTTTTAGGTGCATGAGACGAAAATAATTAAATAAGCATGTACTTATTGCAGAATCTTGTAATATATAAAAATGTGCAAGTGAAATATATAGATATTTTTGAATTGTTCAACATCTGGAATGTAATAAGGTAAGCTGAAAATATAAATCATTTAAAATTTAAGTTATTGATACTTAAGATACTTATGTGTCCAATTTTAAATAATTTATATTTTCAACATCCGGAATGTAATAAGATGGTCAAGTGAAAACAAAATCTTATAATAGAACGGATTCACGGGAAGGAAAAGAACATCTGGTATGTAAGCTGAAAAAGTCAATATACATACTGAAACAAGCTTCCAGACAATGGTATCTTAAATTTTAATGATACCATCACGTCATATGGTTTCGTAGAGATCATCGTTGATCACTGTATCTATGATATGGTCAGGTTTTACCCAAATAAAACTACTGCAAGTGCACAGCAAAAGCAGTTGTAGTACAAGGGGTTATCGAATCCCAAGGGAGTATGTAAACCACACTAGCGATTATAGATTCAGATTAAGCTAAGCGATAAATAATGAATGTAATGCAAAACAGTAAAATAAATGCAAGAGGGCGTTTTTATGCTTGTTCTTAAAGTTCAGAAGGCTAAAGGCGCTAAGTCAGGACAGTTCGCAGGTTGAATCCGAGAGTGTAGAATGCATGCAATCAGGAATGAATTAAAACCGTCTTGAACATGAATCGCAAAGATATAACTAATCAATTCTCATTGCAGAAGTTATCTATGTCTAAATCACAGAGTTTCAAATCTCTTTGCAAACCCTAACAACCTAAATATACAGTAATGGTCAGGTTCAATTGTTCACAAAACTCCTAAGCCAAATCTCTTTGTACTAGGGCGTTTTGCTCATCTAATACTAGTTCAGGTGATTAATAATGCTCTCACATCTATCAAACAACCTAGGGTTTCGAAATCCAGATGATGTGTCTAAGAAATCGATATGAATGCAAGCACAAATGAAGAACCAATAAATTTCCTATAAGTTTTTAGCAATTCTACAAACTCTTCTTCAACCTTTGAAAAGCCCTAACTTAACTAACAAACTACTCAGACATGGTGATTTGAGAAAACATCATGAAAAGAATAGATTGCATAAAAGAAATAAGAAGTAGAAATAAAGGAGTTCAAAATCTGCTCTGAAAGAGTCTGATTTGTCTCTCCAAAAGCTCTGCTACAAATCTCTCTCTAAAGCTCTCAAAAATAATAAGATACAAGATCCCTGCCAAAACAATGGCTGAAAAACCTAATATACAAGCTAAAACACGATATGAGGTCTTTTTGTAAATACTGGAACTTATGGGCCAAAACTGCAAATAATCCTCTATCTTTTAGAAAACAGCCACGACCCCTTCCTTTCTGGGTGACGAGCGTCACCAAAAGTGGTGACGAGCGTCACCATATGTGATACTTTCTGCTTCGAGCTTGGTACTTCGTGGCTTCCACCCAGAATGCTCCAAAAGGTTCCAAAATCTTCAATTATGCTCCAGATATGCTATAACCTGCAAAGACTCTTCTAGGACTCTAAAAAGACAAAAAAAAACTCAATAAAAAGGAATTATATCATGGTTAAAAAACATAAAAACCATGATATATCAATCTACATTAAGATCAGTGAGAGCAAATTTGTGATTTTGGTCTTATATGTTGATGATATTTTGCTTGCTGCAAATGACATAGGCATGCTACATGATATAAAGAAGCATCTCTCTAAGAATTTTGAAATGAAAGATATGGGTGAGGCTTCCTATGTGATCGGAATTGAAATAATTCGAGATAGATCACAAAGTTTGTTAAGTTTGTCTCAGAAAGGATATATCAATAAGATCTTAGAAAGATATAAAATGGAAAAATGCTCTGCAGGGATAGCTCCAATTCAGAAGGGGGACAAGTTCAGTAAAATGCAATGTCCTAAAAATGAATTGGAGCATAAGAAAATGGAAAGAATTTCATATGCATTAGTGGTTGGGAGTTTAAACTATGTTCAGGCATGTACTTGACCAGATATCAGCTTTGCAGTTGGTATGTTGGGTCGATATCAAATTAATCCCGGGACGGACCACTGGAAAGCTGCAAAGAAGGTTCCCAGGTACTTGCAAAGCACCAAAGAACACATGCTTACATTCAGGAGACTGGATCATTTAGAGATCATTGGATTATCAGATTCAGATTATGCTGGATGCGTCGATAGCAGAAAATCGATGTTTGGCTATGTGTTCCTATTAGCTGGAGGTGCAGTATCATGGAAAAGCGGAAAGTAGTCTGTCATTGCTACTTCCACTATCGAGGCTGAATTCGTGGCATGCTTTGAGGCCACAATTTATGCATTATGGCTGCGGAATTTTATTTCAAGACTTCAGATTGTCGACAATATTGAGAGGCTGCTGAGAATTTATTATGATAATTCTGTAGCAGTCTTCTTTTCAAAGAATGACAAGTACTCGAAGGGTGCTAAGCACATGGAGTTAAAGTACTTGTCTGTCAAAGAAGAAGTACAGAAACGTAGAGTGTCCTTTGAGCTCATAAGAATGGGTATGATGGTAGCGGATCCGTTAACTAAAGGTCTACCATCCAAGGCGTTCATTGGCCATGTAGAGTCACGGACTTGATATTTGGGATCAATTCCGCGCGGCCCTAGCCTCTTTTTGCCCCAGCAAATAGACTAGGCAGTCTGACTCACAAGAAAACCCGACCCTTTTTAGACAGAACTTGAAAGAAAGAAGGGAAAATGTTTAAATAGCCCTCTTATTCAAGAAATGAGTGAGTGATTACAAATGAGGGATCCCACCCCTATTTATACAAAAACACCTCCAAGATGGATGGTGAGGATCAACTTGATCTAAGGGCTCATATTGAAGATATGGCCTTAACTACAAGATCTGCAACTAATGAGGGCGGATTTGTAGGGATTTGGGCGGATCTGTAGGGATTGATGGGTTGACTGAGCAGATTCTTGGGGATCGCTTATATCTTCAAGGATCCTCATAATTGCCATCAACCTTCTAGAAGTCCTTACAAAACCAGCCATCGTGATAACCTCGAGTAGATTCTTGCTGGTCCGGCCCAAATAGATGCTATGCAAAATGGGCTGTGACATTCTCCCCCACCTAATTCGGCAACTCCCTCGTTACCGTGAAAGTCTTGTGCTGGTCTGTGAGTTGCCATAGTTCGTTCTCCGGCTCAGATTTTGATGCCTCTCGTCATCCCTTTTCTCCATCCGTTTGCGGGACTTCTTCAAACAAACCCGGGCAATGTTAGGATGATCATCCCATGGTCTGACCATCTTAACCACTTCTCGACTTTTTGACTTGACCATCGGTGTGACCAAGGTCTCCTGAGTTAACTCCAATAACTCCACGGGTTGTTTGGTTTCCCCTTTGTCTTGCTGACACAACAGGTAAGTCTTCCCCAACACTTTGCCAGTGGTATCAGGGTTTAATCCTTCCCGATCCTAAGCCGCGACCGTATCTATGGCATGACTGATCACAGGAAGATCTGCATGTTTGGAGGGAGCTATGTAATGTGGTGGCTCGACTCCTACTTCCATCTCAATCTGATGAACTACCTCCCTCCTTGGTGGTAGCTCCTTGGACAGCTCAGGTGGCATGATGTCTTTGTTCCGCTGAAAGACTGTCTTGATCATGGATGAAGAGATACTTTCTTCTCCTATCTCATCATCCACTTTCTTTACTCCCTTGGTGAGTTGCATCGCCAAGAGCTGCCTGATCATGTCCCCCTTCTCATTGGGTGACTTCACGGTTGGGATCATGCATACTGAACCCTTTTCAAGTATACAGATTATGTTAAGGGCAGGCATTGGGATCGCCGAGACTTGCCTCTGAAAGTCTAAACCCAGCACGACCTTGAAGTCATCCATTTGCGCCACTGAGAAGTTCATTGGACCCTTTCAAGCTCCCACACTGAGCTTGACATCCTTGGCGACTCCCTGTAGTGGTTTGGCTTTGGCGTTCACTGCTTTCAGCCAACACTCACCCTTGGTCCATGTAAGACCAAGTCTTCTTGCTTCCTCAACAGATATGAAATTATGGGTTGCGCCTGTGTCCACCATTGCTTGTGTTGATTACCCATTAATGATGACTTCAATATACATCAATCCCTTACTTGTTACTTTGGACACTGGAGTTGTTCTTAGGGCATTGAGCAGTTGAAGAGATCCCATTATCTCGACCCCCTCCTCCTGAGTTTTGGCC